GAATGCCTTATGTGGATCGGCAGAACCGAATCTGTGGGTTTCTGGACATCGAGGAGAATGAGAACAGTGGCAAGTTTCTGCGGAGGTACTTTATTCTGGACACCCAGGCCAACTGCCTTCTCTGGTACATGGACAACCCCCAGGTGAGAGGCTGTGGGGGAAGGTGGTAGGGTGGCTGGCTGCCTGTCACTGCCTGGGAGGAATGCACTTGGAATTAGCCTCAAGGGCTTCATCTCTCGTGGGCAGCACCAACCTGCTGGTCAGTAAGGAGAAGAACCTTTCCATACACACTCACGCATGCACACATGCACATTTGCACATACGCATGCATGTGCACAGAATATCATCTCAGATTTTAGCTTGAAAGAGCAGCTTTGCTCTCCTGATCCAGGGGATCTGGTGTCTTTTCTCACACTTAGGAATTTAACACTTGGAAAAGTTAGGCAGAGGCCAGCCAGGCTGGATCCAGGCTCCAAGGCATGGCTTACTTCCTCTCACCTTTCTTATTAGGGCTGTGGCCTTGTGGCCACTCCTGCTCTTCTAGTCTGGGGCCCCTCCCCAGCAGAGAATGTGACCTGGTTCCTTGAGCTGGACAAATGTTGGACTTCTCTGGTTTCCTGCATCAAGTCAGGAGTCAGAATACTGAGTTAGAGGTGACCTTGGAAGTCACCTAGTTTTGTTTCCCTGTACTACAGATAAAAAAAGCTGAGTCTCGGATACTGAAATCGTCAGGGGCTTCCTAAGTTTTATTGGAAGTCCCTAGAGTCATCCTTGGTCTGGAAAAAAAGTTGCTCTACCTTTGATTTGGGATCTCAGGTCCATTTTCTGGTGATGTGAGTATTGTTGGCTCTTTCCTTTTTACTGCCCTGCAGTTTGGTTGAATGAGGCCCCCAAGACGTGTGGTCCTTGCACTGGCAAGATCATGGGTCATGACTATGTTGGGGTAGGGAGGGATATGGAGCTGAGGTCTGGCTCTGGTTCAGAGGCATGGGAAGAGGAAAGTCTTAAGAGTTGGGGGATAGATTTGGACTTGAAGATGTGAAGTGGAAAAAGAGTCCTGTGAGTCTCTAAGTCATTATGCAGGGACTAACTCTCTAGAGGCCTTTGCCATTTGCCCTCCGGATTCGATGGCTGAGAGAAAAACACTATAGATATAGAAAATGTACTGAGGTCAGTTGCCGCCAATTGCCTTCTCCAGGAAAGTCTTAACCCTAAATAGAACTGTGCCCTTTGTTTCAGCCCACATCTCTGATAAACCTTCTGCTGTTCACTTTCATTTAAAGTGCTGAGCATGCAGAATAATACCCACACATGGACACTAACATCCTTGCTTTAGCCTGGAATGCTTGCCTCTTATAATGTTTTGGTTTGGGGTTTGATTTGGGCCCTGTTGTATCATTTTTCCTGCCTTTGCTCTGCACAGGTGCCCACAGCTAGGTCAATAGATTCACTGTTGGAGGAACTTGAAATCAATCCTTTGTGGCCAGTAGACTTGGCTTCTGGCATGCCAGGGATGAGCCCTGGTGAATTATGGTCTCTGAGTCTTATCATTCCCTTTCTCTTTTTCTTTGTCTACCTTCTCCCACTCACCTGCCATATCAGTTCAGGTGATTTGAATGCATTTTTGTCTTGATTTATCTGCTTAGTGCTATACTTTCTACTAGGACTGCTCTTAACTCATATTCACTTGCTTGGGGAATCCTGCATAGCTGTTGCCAGCTACCTCCCCTGAGAAATGACCTTCCTTCAGACTCTGGGCCACAGGCTTCTATCAGTGACATGTCACCCAGGACCACAGTGTCACCATCTGTGCTATTTTGAATATTGCCCGTTGTCAGGATTTCCCTTGTTCTGTCCTGCCTTTTGATTTGCCTGTCCCTTGGTTCTAGGACCTGCACTAGCCTTGGATGCTGAGCGTCAGGCTGCCTTCCTGGGATCAGCGGCTGCAGCAGGTCCCACCCTGCCCAGGGCAGCCTCCTGTGCTTCTCTGTCAACTGAGCTCTCAGGCTGCTCTTGGTGCTAGAGCCTTCTTTGAGTTTGAGTTACCAAATAAAATTTGTGGCCCCTGTTGGAGATTCTTTACATTTTCTCTGGAAGCAGAAATTTCAGCTGGCTTGGCACATACCTCAAAAAGGAGAGTCTTGCTGTGACATACCAATATTTCAGAACGTTTTACTTCTTTAGTTGTTGGCTTAGCTCTTTGTTGTATTAATGGCCAAACAACCATTCTAGACTTGAAAGTGGATATTTTTGTAAGTTGTAAAATAATAGTAGTGAACATTTGTTACCGTGTGCCAAGCACTGTTCTAAAGAGTTCATTGGGTTTTCATTTCATTCTGACAACAGTCTAATTGGTAGGTATTATTGTCCTGATTCTAAAGGTGAGGCAGATGAGGCAGAGAGGGGAGGAAATTCACTCATGGTTACATAATAAGAAAGTGGCAGAGCCAGGATTCTAACCGTGGCAGTCTGACTCCAGTTCTTCTGCTATTATTGCTGATAATGAGACAGTCATCTTAGTATTGCTTGGGAGTAAGGAAAGCTTTCAAAGGTAGTTTCTGATTAAGAAATAGAAGCCAGAGGACTCTTAGTGCTGGGAGCTTCTAGATGGCAGAGGCCTCATCTGGTTTAGCTTTTGATCCATGGTGTCAGGCATTTGATAAATGTGTGCTAATTGAATGAATGGACAAACCGAAGAGAGCCAAGAATAGAGGCTGTAGGAAAGGAAGCCTTTATGAAATGCAGAGTCCCCGACACTGCTCTTCTGGGGTTGGGGACATGGCCTAAACCAAATGCAAGTTCTGTAGAGTGGGACAAAGCAGTGTGCTGGGAGTCAGGAGAAAGTGAATTGAGGTGATCTCCAAGAGCAAACTGGAGGATTTTGATCTGTCCTTATGGAGAGAGACACTGGGGACTCTGATCTGCCACTGAAAATCCTATATTTATAGGGAAAAGGAGACATCTGATATGATATCTGTTATTAATAGACATTAACAAGCAGGAGGTTTTCTGATCCCAGGTATCTGACCTTTGCCTGTTTAAGCCACTTGGTGGTTGGTGTTTATGGAGCCTGTTTTCACTACCACTGGTATTACTGTTATTACTAACTGCAGGTATACTTACTGGGTGGTTGCCTTATACCAGCCATTGTAAGAAATGCTTTCCATATATCATCTCAGTAAGTCCTCTCAGTAATCCTGGGACTCAGGGACTATTAGTCTCATAGGACTCTGCAGAGTGCAGAGAAGTTCATCACCTTTGCTCAAGATTGCACAGGTGGTAATAAGTGCAGAGCTGGAGTTGGAGCCAGGTCTGTCTGACTTGAGTGTCTGCACTCTTCACCCTTGTCTGCTTCCTTCTTCTTGCTGATGTTTGTGCTTAGTCCTGGGCAAGGTCTGAGCACAGATGTGGAAGGTGAACTCAGTGAGCGAGGTCTTTGCCACTAGGAAGTTTCAGGTTCATTTGGGGAGATGAAAACAACAGAGGCAAAACTACAGTGCTAAAAATCCGAGTCCACCTTTGTAACAGGTTAGCGATCATTAAGTTGAACTGCCCAAATGCCAATATTTTGGTTGAAGAAGAAGGGGTTGCAGTGTTCCCTGTCATTGCCCATCTGTGGAAGAGTGGGGTCTGGAGGTGGAGTCTTAGATGGAAAATTCTCAGGCCTGGGAGATAAGAGATGAACGATCAGATCCTGGCTCTGCCACTAAGTTGTTTTGTACATAAGCAGGTCATTTCTCCTCCCTTGGCCATAGGCACTCTAGGTGATCCTTAAAATGGCTTTTGGCCCTCCATTTCCCAAAGGGCTGAGAACAGAGCAAGATTCTGGAGTTCGGCAATGCTATTTAACACACACTTACTAAACAGGCGTTGTGTTCCAGACATCAGTCTAGATGTTGAGGCTTCAGCACTGAACAAGACAAAAAGTCTTCACTTTCATGGAGCTTACACTATAGGTGGAGAAAGAAGTGATTACATAAAAGTGTGGCAGGAAGAGCTGCAGGACACCCCTTCCTGGAGGAGATGGCACTAGATCCAGATCTAGAAGGATGGGTGAGATTATTACTACAGGTGATTCGCATCTGTAGAGCACTTTACAGGTTTTGAAGTGTTTTCACTTACAATATCTCATTTGGTTGTTGTGCAGCCTGGAGGAAGGGGAAGAGGAGGGCATTCTCCGTGAGGGAAACAGCAGTCATTAAGGGCCAAAGGCAGCACCAAGGAGGGAGGGCGAGCTTGCCTGTTTAAAGGGTGTTTAAGGTCAGGTTCCCCAGAAGACCTGGGGATGAGGATTTGTGGCAAGTACTTTATTAAAGAAATGTTTCTCTGAGTCTGTCAAGAGTTCTGGGAAGCAGGCCGGGGAGAGATCAGGGTAAGTCTGCAGAGGGAGGCCTTGGCCTGATGCTGTGGGGGACTCACAGTGAGTGAGGCCTAAGGGTGGTCCCAGGGGAGCTGGACTTCCCTATGCCCTGATGGACAGTCACTGGTTTTGGCTTTACACGTGTGGGCAAAATGGCCCCAGCAGCCTGAAGGCAGCCTTCTGAAGCAGAGCTGCAGGTGATGGTCATTGTGAGCACAGCAAAGTGGCAAACAGATGGGAGGCCAGAGACAGTGTCTTCTCACGGGACATATAATGGGTGCATGTTAGCGGGCAGCCTGCTGGGACCAGGTATACAGCCTTGAATGCCTGACAGAATTTAGAATTGATGTGATAAAGTAAGGAATCAAGGTTTTTTAATACAGGCACTGGTGACACCAAGCTGATCTAGAATGAAACCCATTAGCTAAAAAGGACCCCTATAAATGGAAAGTTTCAATATTATTGATTATAGCCACTGATTTGGCGAATGCATTTAAAAATCAATATGCTTACAACATCAAGCATGCAAATAATTCTTGAATAGAAACAGACATTGGATAGATTTCCCTTAAAACATTACCATGATATGATGGCACCAGCACTTGTATTTTTTTTTTTTTATTATGGTGACATTGGTTAACGAAATTTAGTAGGTTTCAAGTGTACAATTCAACAGTAAGGCATATATATATTGCATTGTATATTCACCACCCATAGATTTCTTTCTGTCACCACATATTTGACCCCTTTTATCTCATCTACCTCCCCCCTCCCCACTACCAT